TGGCTTGTTTTGAATACTGGATGCATATTGAATATTGAATTCCTTTGTGTTGTTTTGAATTCCTTTATTGGCACATAGTGCATATTGACTTCCTTTGTAGGTGCACATGCATTCCTTTGTAGTAGGGCCTTGTAGGCTAGCCAAATTCCCTCAAGGCAGTGCTCTCACCAGCCAAATTCCCTCACCTGCATGTACTAGACTAGCTAAAATCCCTCATTGGATCTTCAGGCCAGCTAAAATGCCTCAAAAGCCTGTACCCTGGGGCTAAAATCCCTCACATTTGTCTATATAAGGAGGCCTCTGCCTGCCAGTTGTTCCCTCCATCATCCCACCAGTGGACCAGATCATCTCAACCACCCTTACAGATTATATACAAGTGACAGCCATAACACTACATTATATTGAAATACAACCATAACAGTTTCATCATCATAACAAGTGCCAAGTGCCCATAACCTGCCTCACATATAAGGATGGCAAACAGGCAGGCTTGGGCTGCCCGTGGGCCGGCCCGTCAGGGCCCACCATCTTAGCAGGCAGGCTTGGCCTGGCCCATTTAGCAAATGGGCTGGCCTGGCCTGGTCCATTTTGCAAACAGGGTGCCCATGGGCTGCCCATGGGCTGCCCGCGGGCTGCCAGCACAGAAAATAAAATACAGAAAACAAAATATCAAGGTCAAGGAGGCTGGCAAGTTGTTTCATTTCATTCAATATAAGTAAAAAAAAGGACTACAGCTTCATGGAGGCGGGCAATTTTTTCATTTGATTCATTTTTCAATGATTTTATGTAGAAACGTGTGTCAATATAAGTTAAAAAAAGAAACATGTGTAAATATAAGTCAAAAAAGAACTATGAGCTCTTTTTCTTTGAGCCTTTCATCCAATCCTGAGTGCATATTAAGATTTCAACTGATTCATCACTGAGGCGCATGCGGTAATCGTCTAGAATGCGGCCTCCAGTAGAAAAGGCGGACTCAGATGCGACTGATGTCATGGGAATCATGAGTATGACCCTGGCAAACTCAGACAAAGAAGGGTATCGAGTTGCATTTGATTCCCACCAAGCTAGAATGTTGATTTGATCTTCCGAGGCATTGACATTTCGTTCTTCAAGATATAGATCCAACTCTGCCGCAGGAGCATTGAATTGAGAACCTCCCTGGGTGCCAGCCATGTACTCCTGGAATCCAGAGATATCAGCATCAATCTTCCTCTTGTTTGTGGTGGTTGATTGAGACACAGTTGCTGGGCTGGGATCGCCATCGGGGGACTGAGGGACAAAGTGATTCCAGAGGGATAAGAAAGATGTTCGGACTTTTCCAATAAAGGTATCGGCTTGGGCCACTGGGAGATTTTCAAGCTTCTCAAGGCTGTAGCGGAGATAGCGCATCTTGTATCGAGGGTCTAGAATGATTCCTATGGCCGTAAGTTCCTTTGCCGATTCCCAGTATTTGTCAAACTTTGCCTTCATCGGGGAAATCATATTGAATATGTGAGCATGTTCATTTGAGTGGTTGGTTTGGGTGAGCCGCATCTCGATAGCTGTCATTGCTCGGTAGGCTTGGTTGATTGTTGGATAATTGGTCCCACTTAGCAAAACAGTGGCTACAAGGATTGAGTTATATATGTATGAGCACAAATTTATAGGTGCAAGGGAAAAGAAAAAGAAATTATGCTCACCTCGATGAAACGGTTCAAGAAATTCTTGGATGACAGTAAGCTCCTCCCATTCAACCTCGCTTGGGCAAGATTCAAATTTGTCATCTTCAATGGCTAGCTGCTGGAAGGCAAGCTTGCATGGGGTTGAGGACTGGATCATGAGGAATGTCGAGTTCCATCTAGTCAGGACATCTTTAGAGGGGTGTTGGCTGTCTGGGTCAAGGTCTACCGCTTCGCGAGCTTTATCGAATGCATCCAACCGCGATTTCGAGCCGTGTATATAGAGAACACTTGTGCGGAGTCGCTCAATAGCAGTACATACAGTCTTGAGCCCATCCTTGACAACGAGGTTGATAATGTGGGCCAAGCAACGGACATGAAAGAATTCTGATGTTGATGGAGTCGAGGCGGAAGAGTTGCGATCATTGATAAATCGTTGCAGTCGACTCATGGCCACATTGTTGGAACTTGCATTGTCAAGCGTTACGAATCCAATCTTGTTCACGGCTTTCCATTCAAGTAAGATCTGGCTGAGTCGGTCGGCAATCGCTTGTCCAGTGTGTGGAGGTGGGAGGGTTCGGAAGCTGATAATTGTTTTGATCAGTTCCCACTTAGGGTTAATGTAGTGGGCTGTCACTACCATATAGCCAGTCATATCGGATGCGGACCACAAGTCAGTAGTCAGTGATATAGCGGCTGCTTTGGCTACCTTGGTGCATTCAATTGCTTTCATGCTTTCGAACACCTTGACACAATCGTTGCGGACACTCTTGCGTCCAGGTATCTTGAAGTTTGGCTGAGCTGCTTCCATGAAATCGGTGAATCCGTCACCATCTGCAAATGCGAAAGGAAGTTCGTCTCGAATTATCATCATGGCCAATTTTTCGCGAATGAGGTCTTGAGAGACGTCCAGGTGCGGTTAGGGCATCATTGTGGAAGGATCCGGGTAAACTGACAATGCCTGTTCGAGGCTGTCACAGCCCCTCCGTGATGCCTTCATGCACTCTTCGGAATGACAG